AGCACGGGGAAAGCGGGAAGCACGGGGAAAACGGCAAGCCAGGGGAAAGCGGGAGGCACGGCGGAAGCGGGAAGCACGGCGGAAGCGGGAAGCACGGCAGAAGCGGGAAGCAAGGCGGAAGCGGGAAGCACGGGGAAAGCGGGGGGCACGGGGGAAGCGGGAAGCACGGGGAAAGCGGGAAGCATAGGGAAGACGGGAAGCACAGGGAAGGTGGGAAGCACAGGGAAAGCGGAAAGCACGGGGAAAGCGGGAAGCATAGGGAAGGCGGGTGGGAAGCATAGGGAAGGCGGGAAGCACGGGGAAAGCGGGGAGCATGGGAAAGGCGGGAAGCACGAGAAAGGCGCGCGGGGGGCACGGGGAAGGCGGGAAGAACGGGGAAAGCGGGAAGAGCGGGGAAGGCGGGAAGCATAGGGAAAGCGGGAAGCACGGGAAAAACGGGAAGCACGAGAAAGGCGGGAGGCACGGGGAAGGCGGGGAGAACGGGGAAAGCGGGAAGCACGGGGAACCGGGAAGCACGGGAAACCGGAAAGCACGGGGATAACGGGATGGAAACACGGGCGGGGGGCGCAAAGAAGGCGGGGGGCGCGGGTAACTAACTAACGCCGCCGGCGGCAAAGCCCCAGGCGAGCAGCTGCCCACCACCCTCCCCCGGCGCCCTCCCTCTGTTCGCGAAGGGAATGCCGCGCCCCCCCCGGCACCCGGTTTGCAGGCGGGCAGCTGCCCACCACCCTCCCCCGGCGCCCTCCCTCCACTCACGTCACCTCACGAGGAGACTGGCAGAGGGCGCCACCGTCCGCCGCCTCTGTCAGTCTTGGACGGTGCGCGCGAGGCTAGCAGGTGGGGGCGGAGCAGATTACTGCATGCGAGCTAACGCGGGGGGTGCCGCCTGTGTCCGGGGGTGCTGGGGGAGGGTGGTGGGCCCCTGCGCCTGGGGGGCAATGAATGCCCCGCCCCGGCGCCCGTGCTGCCTTCATCCACGCGCGCGGCAGGGCCCCCCGCTCTGCGAGGCTGCGCGCGGGGGAAGGGCGCGGGGGGCACCAAGGCGCGCAGGGGCAACCGGGGCACAAAGGCAGGCGGCACGAACGGGCCACGCCGCAAACGCGCGGGCATGGCGTCACGCGCCAACGCCTCGCATGGCGCGGACTGTTCCCCTGCTTCCTCCCCCCGTCCACTGGCGCCCGCCCGCTGCCGCGCTTTGCGTTGTTGCCTGGGCCTAAGGCTTGCCGCCACGCAAATGCACGCCCATGCGGGTGGGGTCCTAGCGCTCGCGCAGAGACTGGAACCACGGGCGCCATGGCGCTCCGCCTACGTTCTGGCAGCAAGAAGCGGCGCAGATGCCTGGCCCCGCCCTGCATCAAAAATTTTTTCCCTTGCCCACCCTCTGGCGTTTTTGTTTCCCCCCTGTCCACTCGTTCACCCTCCCACTACGCGACATAAGCTGCGGCCTTGTAACTCCTATTGCTGAGCTGCGCAAGTTAAAATTTTGCAACGGGAAAGAAAATCGCCCGCGTCCAAAATTTTTTGGCAATTTTCAAACTTTTCAAAAGCTGTCGCGATTTGTGAAATTGCCCAACGGGAAGCGGCCAACGGGAAGCGGCCAACGGGAAACGGCCAACGGGAAACGGCCAACGGGAAACGGCCAACGGGAAACGGCCAACGGGAAGCGGCCAACGGGAAACGGCCAACGGGAAACGGCCAACGGGAAACGAGTCGAAATATTTTGGAAGTCGAAATATTTCGCAGCTCCAAATATTTTGCGGCTTCAAATATTTTGCGGCTTCAAATATTTTGCGGCTTCCAATATTTTGCAGCTCGGAATATTTTGCAGCTTGAAATATTTTGCCGCTCGAAATATTTTGCCGCTCGAAATATTTTTCCGCTCGGAATATTTTGCGGCTCGAAATATTTTGCGGCTCGAAATATTTTGCGGCTCGAAATATTTTGCAGCTCCAAAATATTTTGCAACGCAAAATATTTTGCGGGGTCCCTCGGATCTGCGCGATCGCGTGGCGATTCCTTACTGAAATCCCTAAGGAAAAAAACGCCAGCTGATCGCGCGTCCGAGGAGAGCACCGCGATCAGGCAGCCGTCCGAAGACCGAAGGCGGCGATCGCATCCCTGCAAGCTGTACATGGGTTGTCGCCTGTCCTACTGAGAAATCTTTCCCCTGGGTAGCCAGAATTGCTGTGCTAAACACAGCAACTCGGGGAAAGCAAGCAAGCTTCTCCCTCCCCATACCCGTGCCGCCCCTCTGTGCCAAAATCCCCTCACTATCGTGATACTCTCCCAGTACCCTACTGGGAAATCTTTCCCCTGGGTAGCCAGAATTGCTGTGCTAAACACAGCAACTCGGGGAAAACGAACAAAATTCTGCCTCCCCTTACCCGTACCTTCCCACTATGCCAATACCCCCTTATTACCCTTCAACACCCTACTGGAAAATCTTTCCCCTGGGTAGCCAGAATTGCTGTGCTAAACACAGCAACTCGGGGAAAACAAACAAAATTCTTCACTCCCTTACCCGTGCCGTCTCACTATGCCTATATCCCCTCAATATCCTGATACCCTCCCAGCGCCTTACATATTGGCAAATCTTTCCCCTGGGTAGCCAGAATTGCTGTGCTAAACACAGCAACTCGGGCAAAAAAGCGAAAGGCCCCGAAATCCCTGCTGGAAATGCCCTTGGTCATCTCCACCCGAAATTCCGCCTGGATATGCCTTGGGGGGTCTTGCTTCGCCTGAAATTGCAGCAACACCCGCGCCGCAGATGCCTTCTCAAAGTGTTTCCAGCTGGATTTCCAGATAGAAATGGAGCAGGCCTCTTCAGCTGGAAATCCAGCTGGAAACACTTTGAGCAGGCCAGGTGGGAAATGCGTTGAAAAGGCGTCTGCAGCTGCGTCTCCAGGTGGAAATGCGCTGCGGATGCCTTTTCCAAATGTTTCCAGCTGGATTTCCAGCTGGAAATGCACTGAAAAGGCGTCTGCCGCCGTCTGGGGAACGCCACCGGCGGCCAAGCACCAGGCGAGCAGCTGCCAGCCCACCACCCTCCCCCGGCGCCCTCCCTCTGTTCGCGAAGGGAAAGTCGCGCCCCAGCGCCAGGCTTGCAGGCGAGCAGCTGCCCACCACCCTTCCCCGGCGCCCTCCGACCGTCTGTTCACGAAGAGGCCGGCAGTGGGCGCCACCATCCGCCGCCTCTGTCTTGGGGGGTGCGCGCGAGGGAGGCAGGCGGGGGCGCAACAGATTGCACGCGGGCTAGCACGGGGGGCGCCGTTGTTGTCCGGGGGTGCTGGGGGAGGGTGGTGGGCCCCTGCGCCTGGAGGGCAATAAGCGCCCCGCCCCGGCGCCCGTCCTCCATCCACGCGCACGGCAGGGGCCCCAGCGCGCCCCGTCTCTGCGAGGCTTCGCGCGGGAGAAGGGCGGGGGGGGCACCAAGGCGCACAGGGGCGGGGCACACAGGCAGGCGGCACGGACGGGTCACGCCGCAAACGCGCGGGCGGGGCGTCACGCGCCAGCGCCTTGCATGGCGCGGCCTCCCTGTTCCGTCCCCCGTCCATTGGCGGCCGCCCGCTGCCGCGCTTTGCGTTGTTGCTTGGGCCTAAGGCTTGCCGCCACGCAAACGCGCGCCCAGAGCGTGAGGGCACGGCGACAGGAACCACGGGCGCCATGGCGCTCCGCCTTCGTTCTTTCAGCAAGTAAGAAGAGGCGCAGATGCCTGGCCCCGCCCTGCATCAAAAAATTTTTCCCTTGCCCCTCTGGCGTTTTTCTTTCCCCCCCGTCCACTCGTTCACCCTCCCACTGCGCGACATAAGTCGCGGCCTTGTAGTAGTTTAACGAACAAATCTGGTCTACTTCTCTTTATATTTTACCACCTGACTTCTCGCCTCCCGCGCTGCACAATGTTGACGGAACACGACATCATCAAGCCACACTGCACAATGTTGACGGAACACGACATCGACGAACTTGATGTCGTACATGGAACGGCGGTACATAAGCGCACCGCCAGGTCCACGAAAAACCGTTTTTTTTTCTCCTTTTGGGATGGGGTTTATATTAAAAATAATAATAATTTGCTTCGTACGGGGTTGAAATAAGTATAAGTAGATGTGAGGCGTCTTTCCTGGGTTTAATATCCTTTGACAGTTGACAAAAAAAGGGACAGCGGGGACGATAATTTATCCTTTTCCCTTTTGAGTTCTTGGGGACGATAATTTATTATCGTATGGGGGTTTATTTTTCCGGGTGGAACAAGTATTACTTTAGTGGGGAGATCATACTTACTTTTTGGGTTAAAAATACTTCTGAAGAAAGTCCATTTCAGTTTGTGGCTAGGGTTAAAACGCTGTTAGGGTTACCAACAGGGTATTACAATGAAAAATGCCCCCTCCCCATATCGGAAACGAAATTTGTGATGCTGTATTTGAGTACACAAATCGGCTTGTATTGCTAGAAGGCCAAGAGCCGCAGTTGTGGCCTGAATTGCAGGCAATTTGTCATGCTGTTTCCCACTTCCAGTTGCCTCGTGTCAAGCTGGAGACGCACTACTTTCCCACGCTAGGTAGCACTACAGTCCGCATCTTCTGCCTTCCAGCATCACAAAGCTGATTTGTGACCACAAATCTGCATCACAGATTTCCGTTTTGATATGGGGAGGGGGGATTTTTGTTCTTGATACAGGGGACGCTTTACCATATTTGACGCCACATCTTCGGATAGTATGAAGATGCCGAGCAACAACGAGTGCTGCTCTCAACATCTCACAAGGAACTCAAGAAAAAAAACGAGGTTTTGGTTTTCTAGATGAAACAATTGCGATTGCCGGTCGTTCTTGCAGATTAAGTATTGTACAGGGCTGAATCCTTGGGAAAATCGTGGGTGGTGACTTCGTTCTTGCAGGTTAAGTATTGTACAGGGTTGAATCTCTGAGAAAATCGTGGGTGGTGGTTCGCGGTAGGTGCGGTTGCTTTTTTTGCGGAAAAAATGTGTAAGAGCTTTTGAAAAACGAAACTGAGTGTTTGTATGCAATGTGCAAACTTGTTCTGACAAATCTCGGAGTAGTTCTTATGCGAAATGATGATGAAGAATGCTACATGGTAAAAAACTGGTGACTTACTTCTTTCAAAAATTTTACGTACGATTTGTTCAGATAAAAATTCATAGTTTTGAAAAAGATTTTGTTATGCTTCGAGAGATTGATATGAGCTGATCTGCTGAAAGACCAACTTTGTGGCGTTTACGACAATCCTACTACACATCTCCTTGGTATTACATCTCTCTTTTGCTCTACAACCACTGGTGTATTTGCTCTACAACGTAGTCGCGTGCCAGGTCGCGAACAGATGCAAGCCCGCGTCTGTCTATCGAGGGTTGGGGTAAGAGGCAACGCCAATCACCACCTAATTCTGTCCGTCCGTCCTTTGCATCTCATAAAAGTCGAAACGCAGATCCTGGCTACTAGACATTTGTTGAAAATTCAGAAGATTTTCCATCGGTCGTGGGTCGTTTTTGAGTTTATTACCTAACCTCAAGGCTGGGCTCGATCTAGAGTTTCGCCCTCTCTTCTACCGACGACAACCACCAGTTCCACCTCCAACTCCAGTTCCACCTCCAACTCCAGTTCCACCTCCAACTCCAGTTCCACCTCCAACTCCAGTTCCACCTCCAACTCCAGTTCCACCTCCAACTCCAGTTCCACCTCCAACTCCAGTTCCACCTCCAACTCCAGTTCCACCTCCAACTCCAGTTCCACTTCCAATTGCGCCGACTCCTCGTCTTCGTGCTGAAGACCCCCCACCGCCCCCGGACCCGGCATTCGACGCGGGAGTCTCAGCGTCCCAGCCGTGCAAGCCTGCAGAACGTTCGTCACACTATCGCAAGGGATAAAAAGCGTCTGCTCTTCATCAGGATCATCTTGTAATGCGAAGGACAACATTTTATTTTCATTCCTTGAGACAGTTTTTTCTTGTCATGCTCGAGTTGCCAAGAAGGCGAACTTGTATCTTCACAGGTTTTGGCTGTCAAGCCGTGCAGCTCCTGAATCTGCAAAGAAGTTCTGAGCCTGAGTAGACCACAACTTTTTCTCGCGATACACACACGTAGGACTGCAGAATCACTTCTCCGCCCCCGCCAGTGAACATATCCAGCCTCGGCTGCCATAGGACACGCAGGAGGTCGCCTCGGCTGCCGCTCCAATACCCGTGCGCGAGGGACTTCGTATCACCTTTTTCCCATGTCTCCACATGTGCTGGGTATTCACTCGAGTCTGACAGTTTCCCATCGGGGTCGTACGCGTCACAGCTCATCTCAAACTCAACATCATCTCGGTCGTCGGCGTCCCATCCCAGTTCCGTTTTCCAGTACGAGTAGTCCGCTTTGACATTGGTTTCACCCTTGTCGATAAGAATCACGCCGTCAGACGTTATCGGGTCTTTGTCGTGTCCGCCCCACCCTGTATGCCTTGCAAATATCGATCTGGGTCTGGAAAGTTTTACTAATATCAAGTTAATCCATGGCCGGGGAAAAAATGAGCCGAATGGAGCAACGCAAAACCGAAAACCGAGAACCGGAAGTCTCGGTCTCTCTTTTCTCGGTTTCTCTTTTGCCCGTTTTTCTTTTCTTTGTTTCTCTTTTGTCTTTTCGGCTTCTCTTTTTTGTTTTCTCTCGCCGGTTTCTCTTTTCTTTTCCCACATCGGAAATCGGGATCCGGAAACCGGGAATCCAGAATCTCGGTTTGCCTTTTCTCCTCGGTTTCTCTTTTGTCTGTTTTTCTTTTCTTTGTTTCTCTTTTCTCTTTTCTTGGAAACCGGGAATCGGAAACCGAGAATCGGAAACCGGGAATCGGAAATCGAGAACCGGGAATCCAGAGTCTCGGTTTGTCTTTTCTCGGTTTGGGTTTCTTTCTCTTTTTTCTGTTTTTCTTTTCTTTGTTTCTCTTTTCTCTTCTCGCTTCTCTTTTCTCGGAAACCGGGAATCGGATGTGAAGAGGACACGCTGTTCGCGCCTCTTCATTGCGAGAGTGGGACATGGAGGAGTGTTTAGGAGCGTGCTGAGTAGCGACAAGAGCCGCAATGCCAAAGAGCATGGCGGAATGGCTGCAAAAGACAACACATCTTTGACGCGCGTCTAGATTTAAACTAGGACTTTAGCCCCGCGGCGCCAGCCGCACGCGGGGAACAGTAAATGCAAAAATGACAAACATCTGCACACAACATGGGAAGGAATTATGCAAAGACGAGCAGAGCGCAGTGGCGCCAAAGCGCGCCGGCAGAAGCGTGCTCCCTGTTCTCTCCTTCTCGCAAACTTTGATACGACAGTAACACAGATCCCTTCGTATCACAATCGGAGACCGAGAATCGGAAACCGGAAATCCAGAGCCTCGGTCTGTCTTTTCTCGGTTGCTCTTTTGTCTGATGTTTTTCTTTTCTTTGTTTCTCTTTTCTCTTCTCGGTTTCTCTTTTCTCGGAAACCGAGAATCGGACGCCGGGAATCGGAAACCGGGAATCGGAAACCGGGAATCGGAAACCGAGAAGCGCAAACCGAGAATCGGGATTCTCGGTTTCTCTTTTCCCGGTTTCCCTTTTCTCTGTTTCTCTTTTCTCGGTTACATACCTTTTTCTGTTCTCGGCGTTTCTTTTCTTTTCCCGGCCTTTCTTTTCTTTTCTTGGTTTCTCTTTTCTTTTTTCGGCTTTCTTTTTCGTTTTCTTTTTTCTCGGTTTCCCTTTTCCCGGTGATTCTTTTCCCGGTTTCTCTTTTTTCGGTCTCTCTTTTCTCGGTCTGCCCTTTCTTTTGTTTCTCGGCCCCTGTGGCCTTTTCCCGACTTCTGTTTCCCTTTCTCGGCTTCTCTTTTCCCGGTTTCTCTTTTTCCGGTTTCCCTTTTCCCGGTTTCTTTTTTCCCGGTTTCTCTTTTCCCGGTCTCCCTCTTCTCGGTTTCTCCTTTCATTCCCGGCTTCTCTTTTCCCGGCGTCTCTTTTTCCGGCTTCCCTTTTCTCGGTTTCTTTTTTCCCGGCTTCCCTTTTCCCGGTTTCTCTTTTCCCGGTTTCTCTTTTTCCGGTTTCCCTTTTCTCGGGCGGCTTCTCATTTCCCGGCCTCTCTTTTACCGGATTCTCTTTCTCCGGCTTCCCTTTTCTCGGTTTCTCTTTTCCCGGCTTCTCTTTCCCTTTTCCCGGTTTCCCTTTTTTCCCGGTTTTCCTTTTTTCCCGGTTCCCTTTTTTCCCGGTTTCCCTTTTTTCCCGGTTTCCCTTTTTTCTCAGTTTCCCTTTTTTTCCGGTTTCCCTTTTTTCCCGGTTTCCCTTTTTTTCCGGCCCCCCTTATTTTCCGGTCTTTCTTTTTTCCCGGTTTCCTCTCTTTCCCCGGTTTCCCCTTTTTCCCCGGTTTTCCCTTTTTTCCCGGTTTCCCTTTTACCCCGGTCCCCCCTTTTTCCCGGTCCCCCCTTTTCCCCGGTTTCCCTTTTCCCGGGTTCCCTTTTTTCCCGGTTTCCCTTTTTTCCCGGTTTCCTCTCCCACGCCTGTCTCCCTTTCTCCTCTTGACTTCTCCCAGCTCCCCTTCATACCTCAGACGGCGCTTTTTCCCGGCCGTCGGCCTTTTTCTTCCGGGCCTGCCCTTTTCTCGGTGCCCCCGGGATCATCACGCACCCCTTTGGTCAGCACACTGAGCGATGCGCTTTCACGCTCACAGGCCAGGAGTTTACCAGGCGGGCCTCCATCTCCCGGGCCCTTTGAGACCTATGGACCGTGGGCCGGGGTGGTGTGGCCTCTTTTTGCTCGGCTGTGCGCGCCCTTGCTTTCTCGGACTCAATTCCTTTGCGTTGCTCCTCGTTGCTCAATGAATTGTGGCGACATGACCTGCCAACTTGTATATAGATGCGGGAAAGGTGGAAAATGCCTGAAAGCACTGAAACCGTGAAGCACCCAAATCACCCCCCGCGCACCCTTATGCGAAACCACTCTAAGGAAACCCCTATGCGAAACCACTCCGGGGATACCCTTACCCGAAACCACTGCAGGGACACCCTTACCCGAAACCACTCGAGCGACACCCTTACCCAAAACCACTCCCGGCGCACCCTTACCCGAAACCACTCCAGGGCTTCCCGGTTTCCCGGCTCCCCGGTTGGTTCCCCGGCTTCCCGGTCTCCGGGTCTCCCAGCCTCCCGCACTCCCAGTCTCCCTGCCTCCCCACCTCCCAGTCCGTAGCTTCCTAGCCTGCCAGCCTGCCAGCCCAGTCTCCCAGTCCTTAGCCTGCCAGCACCCCACCTTCCCAGCCTTCCCGGCTTCCGGTCTCTTAGTGTCCCGGCTGACTTTCCCCACCCGTCTGACTTTCCTCAACCTTCCCCGACTTCCCAGTCTTTTCAGCTACCCACCCCCATTTGTCCCCGCGGTCCTTTCCGGCTTCCCAGTCGTCCCAGTCTTTCCAGCTGTCTCAGCATTTTCAAGCTTTGCAGCTTTTCAATCTGTTTCCCCGCTTTCCCGGGTTTCCAGCCTTCCCGGCTTTTCCAGTTTTCTCAGCCTTTCGCATGGACTTAGCCTTTTCAGTTTTTCAGTCCTCTCAGCCGCCGCAGCCTTACCGGCTTCCCTAGCCCTCCCAACTCTCGCAGTCTGTGCAGACTTTCCCGCCTTTTTCGTCTTTCCACTCTTTCCCGTCTCCCCATTGTCCCGAGGGTGCGGCCTCCCTGCCTCCCGGTGTTCCGCCGCTTTCCCCGTCGCTTCTGCGTGGCTTTCAAACTGTTCGCAGATAGAGAAACAGGCCCCGCAGCAGACACAAGAAAACACGAAAGAAAACGGCCGCTGGAATCTGTTCGCACATAGAGAAGGAGGCGGCGCAAACGCCCTCCCGTTCTTTCTAGGCAACAGCCCCAACGCAGCGCCCAAGAAAGTCCCACCGCGGAAAATATGACGCGCGCCATGATCATCAAACGCACAAAGTTCTCAAAGTAAACGCACGAGCAAAGAGCCACAAAACGGCCCACACCTGCGGAAAAATAAGATCGGCAAAGCACGACCTGCCGCGCTGAATGCCGCTCCATATCAGGCTCAGGGCCACCCGCTAGAGCTCCGAAAATATATTTGGCAGAGAGCAGAGCGGCCGCATCTCGAATTTCATCGACACACCCAGGCCCCCACTGTCTGGCTAGCTGAAACAGGCACCAAGATGAAGACCGACTTTCCGCGAGCTGTTCTGTTGCAACTCGAATAGTTTTAGGACATAGCGGGCGCGCCCCATATAATAGCCCACCCCTCGCACCCTGCAAACACTTCGCCACCCTTTTTGCAACGTAGCAAACATGCCAGCGCGAGGATCGAGCAGCCGCTCACGCTCGGACGGCAGCAGCTCGCCGCCTACGAAAGTGCGCAAGACGGCGCCCCAGCAGAAAAAACCCACCCCAAGAAGGTCCGCGGCACCCAAGCCGGCGGACTTGAAAGGGGTAAAGGGGCAGAAACCCCCGGCGGCACGTCCTTACGTGCCTAAACCGGCGAAAGGAAAGGCCGCCGCGGAAAAGCCGCGCAACTTGGTGCTGCGCCGCACGCACTTCACTGCGGTGCAGAGGAAGCTGGGGGCGCTGACCGAAGTGCTCAGCGCCACGCCTGAGTACATACTTTGACAAGGTTGGCGGGGCTTTAGAAGAAGCGAACAAGCCGACCAAGCCCGCTCCGCCCCGCTGTGGTCTTTTAGAAGAAATCCGCACCGCGGGGGATCCGGTGAAACCGGTGGAAATGACGGACAGCGAAAAGCCGAATACGGTAGGGGGAGGCCCTCGGAATCTGTTCCGCGTAGAGACATAACCAACGCAGGAAAAAAACCGAAAACGGTGGGAACACAGTCCTCAGAATCTGTTCGCACATAGAGAAGGAGCCGCCGCGGACAACGAACCTCCCGCCCCCCCCGGCCTCCAAGCAGTTCTATGATGGAGAAATAGCCGCCGCAGGAAAAAACCGAAACAAAGCGCCAGGGAAACAGCCCTCGGACTCTGTTCGCACGTAGAGAAACAGCCACCACAGGAAAAGCCGAAAACGGCAGGGGCACAACCCTCGGACCCTGTTCGCACATAGAGAAGGAGCCGCCGCGGACGCCACGCCGCCCCGGCAGTTCTGCGCTAGAGAAGTAGCCACCGCAGAAACGAAAAAGCCGAATACGGTAGGGGGACAGTCCGCGGAATCTGTTCGCACATAGAGAAATGGCCGCCGCAGGCAAAAAACCGAAAACGGTAGGGACAAAGCCCTCAGAATCTGTTCGCACATACAGAAGGAGCCGCCGCGGACACCCTCCTGCCCCTCCGGCCTCAAAGCAGTTCCATGATAGAGAAATAGCCACCGCAGGCAAAAAAGCGGAAACGCCAGGGAAAAGGCCCTCGGACTCTGTTCGCACGTAGCGAAAAAGCCACCGCAGGAAAAAAAGCCGAAAACGGCAGGGACACATCCTTCGGGCTCTGCTCGCACATAGAGAAGGAGCCGCCGCGGACGCCCTCCCGCTTCCCCGGTTTCCCGGCGCCAGTTCTGTGACAGAGAAATAGCCACCGGCCGCAGGAAAATAACCGAAAACGGTAGGAGCACAGCCCTCGGACTCTGTTCGCATATCGAGAAATAGCCGCCGCAGGAAAAAAGCCGAAACGGTGGGGAACAGCCCCCGGACTCTGTTCGCACATAGTGAGGGAGCCACCGCGGACGCTCTCCCGCTTCGAATCCCAGCAAGGTCAGGGCGTTAAATCACACGCGCCACCGTTCTGCAGCTTCCCCCGCGCAAAATGTGCAGCGGGCCACGATCTTCAACCGCGAGCGATCCACCAAAAAAAAATCCCTCGCTCCGCAAATTTCATCACAACTCGCGTCAAAAAACATTGCCAACAAGAAACCCGCCCCCGACTTAAATGCTACCCAGATCGCGCGCCTTTTTGCCTAAGTGTCAACGTTCGCCGTCAATCAAATCCACTCAGAACCCGACTCAGGGCCCGCCCCTTCTAGTTCTGCTTTCTCCCCCCCGGTGCTCTCGATTTCGCTTCGGGATACAGATTCCTTTCCCCTGGCTAGTACTAAAGGTGAATAAGAAGAGGCGTACTGCAATACACAGCCAAGCATGGCAAATTGTTGGGCTGCTATGTGATGTTGCGTTTTCCGCATTTGGCAAACTGCGTTTTTGCATGACATCAAGTAAGCGGACCTCTTCATGCCCCTGCATGATCACAGAGTGTTGAACTTGAATCATGCCAGATATGCATGACAAATCTAGAGATCTTCCAGACCCAAACATAATTGCGATGAATACCCTGTCTTGCTCGGCGAAACTCCTTCTTCCACCGCTTTGTCCTGCTTCTTCCGAAGCTTCAGGGTCGGCTCACCCCGACAACGATGAAAGAACTTGCGTCCGTCATCGTCCTTCTTCATCAATGTTCTGTGAAGAATGCAGTTCGCACCTTCAAATTCGAAACCCCTGAAGGCGAATTTCGCATAACCATCCGGCGTTCTTAGATCGTCTGCTGGCCCCATCGACAATACATGGTGGCTCACCGGAGCAGCTTCTTCCGGTCGGACCGCGCTGTCCTCTTCTTCTTCGCCCGAATCAATACTTCCCTCCTCGCCGCAACACCCGGGGAGAGAGTCGCTCCCGTCGCCGTCGCCAGCGAACCCGTTCTTCATCGCGGCCTCGCGCTCTTTCCCGAGTGGAATCCAGTAGCTTTCCTGAATCACGGGCAGCTCCTATCATTTGTAAAAACGTACCCACACCAGAGTTGTCATGCAGATTTGCAATGACAGGAACATTTGTAATGCGCATCGCCAGGAGAGGCATTTTTAGTCGTGTTTTGGAATTTGTAATGCTGTAAACAGGATGAGCAGATGGATTTCTGATGCAGCTGGCCTTGCGAACCTGCACTACACTACGGACTGCAACTTGTGATGNTAATGCTGTAAACAGGATGAGCAGATGGATTTCTGATGCAGCTGGCCTTGCGAACCTGCACTACACTACGGACTGCAACTTGTGATGCGTGACCCCCAAAAGTTCTAGGTTTGTGTTGCAAAATCCCCATCTTGACTCTGGTGTGGGGATGTTTTTACTCAGGATAGCTCCTGCCCCCCAGCACCGTCCGCATCTTGCTCCGAAGGGTCGTAAGTCGGTCCAGTATCAAAAGGAAAAATGCCCCCTCCCCATATCGAAACGAAGTCTCTGACGCTGGATTTCCGCACACAAATGGGATTTGTCTTGCAGTAGAGGACTGCAGGCATATGGCAAGCCTGAGCTGAGGGGTTTTGGCATAGGCGCCGAGCATGAAAAAAGTCTTCGCTGTACGCCGAGCAGCATCACAAACCGCCTGCATAATGTGGCGGACGCTCTGGGCTTGCCCTCTCTCAAGACAGACAGGATTTGTGGTCACAAATCTGCATCGCAAATTTTCAGACGGATGCGCTTTCAATATGGGGAGGGGGGGTTTTTCCTCGCAATATCCAGCAGTGCTGCTACCGGTTGATGTAGAAGAAGTACTGTTGCTACCAATCAGTAGTTATCAAGGGCAAATATGTCTGGGGCTGGAAGCTTACAAGATCTGTCATGGAGGTCTCGCATGGCACAGAAGGTCTGGAATGCGAGCTGTAGCATCACAAGTATTATTGAGAAGGCCTTCCAGTTCCAATGCGTATTCTGCATGAGAAACGTCATCTTCGGGTGCCCAAAAGTGGACGGCTTGTGCTGCTTGCGCAATACAGATTTTTGTAAGTATCGTCCAGACGTAGCATGACAAACTCTGACTCTTCCAGAGGACCCAGACATATTTGCATTCGATAGTACTTTTTTGTCCCGTAGAAGTTCTTCTTGCCGTTGTAGTTGCAGGGCAGCACCAGTCTGCAGCTTTTGTTTCTTTCCTGCTCGAGAAGTTGTAGACGAAGCTCTTGCCTGGCCGGTTTTGTGTTCTTGTTTGTTGTTCACCTTGATCTGCAGTGCGACAGCGAAAAACGATTGCGACGAAAACTGCGGCGCGCACGACAGCACGCCCAACTTGGCCATCCTTCCCAGCCGACTCGCCCCTGCTGGCAGATTTTTGGTCAACATCTTGGTGCCGGCGCGGGCGCGGCGACCACGTTGGGTGGCCCGAAAGGTTGCAAGATTTTTCTGCTGGAGGTGCAGCTGCGCCATTTTTCAACACCCGCGCAGGGTCTAGTTCCTTGTACTTGGGCTCCTTCTAAAGACGAAATTGAAAACTACTTCGACGTATAATAATTCTTGCGAAAAGTAGAGCGGGAGTGTTGAGCAAAAGTATGTTTGAGTAAAGCAAGTAGTTGGATTTAAAATCTGCTCGTGCTTGAAAAAAAAAACGACAGGCGTCGAGAAGGTTGATGTTTTTAATCTTTCCGGTCTTCCAGGAAGACAGAAAAATTCCTGATTTTAGGTAAAGAAGTGAGCTCCTTTGACATAGTCTCGAGAGGGCTGTAGCACTGTACAGCATAGCAATTTCACACGAACGAAAAAGTATATGTATCAGACGACCACGACAGTACGACATCAGTCGACATTGCTGTAGCTTTTCGCAGCTGCACGAGTAGTTCTTGTCTACTTTTTTCACAGCGGAACGTCGACGCGGATGGAAAAAAATCCGTTGCCTGCTAGCGAGACATGTTGTATGACGTCGGAGGGCCACGAGTCGACAAAATTGAAGGTCCTTCTTTTTTTAAGGAAAAGCCCATTAGTAGAGCACGACTTCGAGCTGGACGACAAAACACGACCACGACCGGTTCGGCACAACCAAGAGGTTCACCAGCACGAAGAACATCTCGCTTGTTATTGTTTCTCTTTCTGGACAAATGTACGCGCCGGAACGACATCACGCGTTGAAGCAAACAGCTACAGATTTCTACTAAGTAGGTACGAAGAGTCGCAAAATTGTTTTCATCTTCACGCTATGGTACTAGTTTCAACAGCAGTAGTTCCACGATTGTTCTTCTCACCCTTTAGTTATTTCAATTGAGAACAGCTGCGAGTGCGACGCAATGGACTTCGCTAGCATGATAACATGACGTTTCCAATAAGTCAGGTCTTGAAAAAAACCTCGCTGCACTTATTTTCAGAGAACTTGTATGTATGTATATGATCCGCTCTTGTTTCAAACAGATGCGGCGCTCGCTCTTTGACCAGGCTATACTTGCGATGATCCGTCTGACAGCACGGCTGTGGGAGCAGGACGTGCGAAAACCCTTCAACGCGACACACGGCCTCAAGTCGTGGAAGCTGAAGGGGAGCAACGTGCATGAAGGGAAATGGGCGCGCTGTGCTGCCCTGCTTCGAGCACTGGCTCCTTATAGCAGCATTATTCAGAGGGTGCACACCGGGCGCACTAACACAGAATAATTACGCTACGTGCGTAGGGAGGTGCGCTTCCAGAGCGGCTCCACGGACATCCGGCTATTGCCGGACGGGCAGAATGTAGGGCGCAAGCTGTGGCGGTTGGGGCTCACGCAGGCGGAGCCTCCGCCGCCTCTTGCGCCGCCTCCCGGGAACGGTTTTCCGGCCCCGCCAGGGGGGTAAGGGTGCCAGCCCAGGCTTTCCAGAATAGCGCAGGCCCCACCGTTTTCGCCAGTCTTCGGCAAGTGCCGCCGGCTGCGTGCTGCGCACTACGTGAGGCAGTAGGGCGTACGACGGTGCGCCTCCACCAATACGGCACAAGGCCGCCGGGAGGGCACGCCATGCCGGGCCTCCTTGCACACGACGCGGCAACACACTAAAGTGCCCGCCTCGGACTGGTCGGGCGCGGTGTGGCGCTGTGCCGCTCAGGTTAAGCACGCGGACGGCCCTCCGCCGTCTCACTCGCCAGGAGCATAGTACAGGGCGCACCAGCTTCCAGAGCTGGGCTCGTCCTCAAGAAGAGAACACCCACCAGGGGCGAGGGGGCGCGCGCTGGATTGCGGGCGCCGCCCTACATTACTCACCAGGAGCAGCGGCGTGCTGCCGCTTAGTTTGCGAGACTTGATGCGTCTGCCTCAGGTAGGTAGCGCATCTGGGCGCCAGGCCCTTATCACGACTTCCCTTCCCTCCAGGGGCGGGAATTTTCAGAGAACTTCAACAAATACAAATGGAGAGGGTTTTTCCTGCATGATTATCCTTTGACAGATCAAAAAAAAACGCACAGCGCTGACGAGCCACGAAAGAATATTGCTCATCACGTAAATTTCCTCGAGGTATGGCCGAGCAGGCCCTGTAGAAGTTTATCCTCTTGCGTCCGCAAGGTCTCATGACCGCTTGGATTTTTGGAAAAAAATATCTCCTTGGTATTGTTCGTTTGAAAGGAGAGAGCTGAATATGTATTGCTGCTGCTAGTGCGAGCAACACTACTTGAAAAATAAAAAGAAAAACCAACATTCGGCCACATCTAATAAATAAAATGCAGTAAAAGCGAGTTTGTTTGACGTCGAGAGCAAGATGACGCACCAGCGCCGGGATACTACTTTCCCATAAGTTTTTGAATAAAATCAAGTAAAAGCGAGTTTGTTTGACGTCGAGAGCAAGATGACGCACCAGTATCCAAGAAAAAAACATTGTAGGTGTAACTTTTTTGGAGGAACAGCATTACAAATTTGTCTGGCATGACAGCAAAAACCTGTCATGCGCAGATAGTACGTGAAAGCGCCCTTTCATGGACCCTGCGACGCATGCCAAGCATGACAGACGCAATCATCTTGCATGTTGAGCATCACAAATTTACACTAACAACGTTTTCTTGGATAACCAGCGTCGGGATACTACTTTCACATAAATTTTTCAAAAACAGCACGATCTTAACATTTGAGTTAGGGCGCTTTGGCCTCTTTTTCTTGAAGAACGACCCAACAAGAGTGATTCTCGTACATTTTTCACAGCAAAGAAGAATACGACTTTTAGAAAAAAAGGCGTAATACTTTCAAAAAAAATACCGGCACGGGCAGCGCCTCGGCCCAAACCTGCGCTTCTTTCCCCCTCGTCACAACCCCGGCATCAATATCCTGAGTAAAAACGTACCCACACCATAGTCAAGATGGGGAATCGGCTAGACAAATCCACAAGTTTTGGCTGTTTTGCATGACAAATTTGGATTCGTAGTGTAGTGCTGTTTGAGCTAGCTCAGCAGCATCACAGATCTAGCTTACCATGCTGATTCGAGCATGACAAATTGCAAAACACGACTAGCAAATGCTTCTCATGGGGCTCCGCATGAGAAACATTTTCAGCATGCAGATTTGCATGACAACTCTGGGGTGGGGACGTTTTTAAATAGGATAATCAAAACTTCGTCGTCATCGTCCATATCTCCCGTTGACAAAATCTCCTCTTCGATCTCATCGTCCTCAAAATCATCCTCATAGTCCCCTCCCGGACTCATTGCCGGCTCGACACCTCCATCTAGTTCTGCTGCAGTGGATATCCTGTGCAAAAGTATCGTACTCGTAGCAATTGCACTTCTGCATTACAAATCTTTTTCCTAAGGTCAATCAGCATTACAAATTCCATTTCTCATGCTGAGGACGAGATTTGTATTGCGATTTCTACTAGTACGATACTTTTGCAGTGCATAGTGGAAACAGGAACGTTGCTCACATTCACGGTGACCAGCTTGCTGTTGCCAGTTGGTTCGGTCGACGTGGTTTCAGCTCCACCAGGAGCCGTTTCTTTCATCCCGTTCGACGCTTCCTGCTTTTTACTCTCTTTCTCAAGCAAATCATATGGATTGCAAAAGTATCGTACTCGTATAAATGCATTACAAATTAGCCCAGCATTGCAAATTAAATTTGTAATGCTGTTTTGCCTTGAGAAAGAGATTTGTAATGCATAAATGCAATTACTACGAGTACGATACTTTTGCACAGGATAAATCAAATTCCGCGACGAAAGTCTTTGTTTGTTCCCCACTACTATGAAATGCAAAAATGTCTGGGTCTGGAAACTTGTAATGCTAAAAGTGAATGATAGACGCGCCGCAATACGCAGCTACGCATGAAAAATTTTGTGGCTGCCATGTCTTACGTATTCCGCATGGCAAACTGCCTTTTCGCATGACAGTTAAGAGGGCTCTTTCATGCCTACGCAACACAGATTCTCGACTCATGCCAGACAAGCATGACAAACTTGCATTCTTCCAGACCCAGACATTTTTGCATTTGATAACGACTAGTACCCGACCCTGTCGGCGAGGGCTTTCTACTGCTCGTGGCGCTACTGTTGCTTTTTTCCTTCTCCGCATTGGAGGACGACTTGGATATGAAATCATTCAAATCCATGGACTTTGACAGGCTGTTCTCATCTATCCTGATTAAACACGTCCCGCCCACACCAGAGTCAAGACGGGAAACCTGCTAGACAAATCAACCCGCTTTGGTTGTTTGGCATGACAAGTTTCGATCCTTGTAGCGTAGTCCTGTTTTAGGTAGGTCAGCACGCAGCATCACAGATCTAGCATAGCATGCTAGTCCTACCATTACAAATTCCCAAACACAACTAGAAAATGCTTCTCATAGGGCTCCGCATGAAAAACTTTTTTGGCATGCAGAACTGCATGACAACTCCGGGGAGGTGGGGATGTTTTTACAAAGGATATCATCCAGCATGTCCTCGTCGAATCTGTTCAACGATTCCAGCACGTCATTCAGGATCTTCTCGCTTTTGTTACTTCTCAGCGAATATGCATGGCAAATATGTCTGGGTCTGGAAGAGTGCGAGATTTGTCATGCTAGTCTGGCATGTTGACACTGAGCTGTGTATTGCGTGGCCAGCAAGAGCTCCTCTTGTCTATCATGCAAGAACCCTGTTTGTCATGCGGAATATGCAACATGGAGCCACGGAAAAATCTGTCATGCATGGCGGTGCATTACAGCGTGGCTTCTATTCACTGACATGCATCACAGGTCGTTTCCAGACCCAGACATATTTGCAGTTGATAGCGACGTGAGCAACTTGTCCGCCGCGGGGTTTTCGACTTTATTTTTCCCAAAAGACTTCGTGAAAGAACTCGTTTCATCTTGAGACTTCATGATTTTCACCGCCTCGTCGTCTTTCTCGTCGGCATTCTTCATCTTCTCAACAGGCTTAGAAGTACTACAAGAACCCACTGCAGTAGTACCACCTGCATTCTTCATCGCGCCAACTATCCCGACCGCGGAAGAAGAACTAGCGGAGCTGGAAAATTCGTCCACCGCGTCAAAGTCCGCTAGTTGCACGTCGTCATCCAAATGGACTCGCGCGACAGAGTCCCGGAGACTGGTTTCATCTTCTTCTACCGCGGAAATTTTTACCGGATCGACATCGAGGTCTTGTTCTTTCTCATGCGGTTTTATTTTAACATCTTCCATCACAACCGGATCATCATCGTCGTCAAAAAACTCGTTCGTACCGGACGACATTCCGGCTCTGCTCATTTGCAAAGAACTCGCAATCAGGGGATTCATCACTTCGGATTTGTCATGATTGTTGGCAGTTTTGTAATCAACATCATGCGAAGTAGCTGTTACCGCGCCAGCTGTACCCTGCATCCGGTTCTGCGAGGAGATAATTACGCGATTGGGAGAATCGGCGAAGAACTCCACGTGGTCTGGGACTTTATCTTCTTCCTCTGCTGCACCTCCAAAGGCTTGATCCTTTTCTCCTCCGACCGCAGGATCTACTTCTTTGAAATCTATTTTCCCCAACTGCTCTTCTTATCAAATGCAAAAATGTCTGGGTCTGGAAGAGTGTGAACTTGTCATGCAGGTTTTCCATGACCCTTGAGGTCTGGAATGCGGGACCTAGCATGACAGAGTCTGTGAGGTCTCTTTCATGCCTATTCTGCATGAGAAACTGCCTCTAAACTTGTTCAAAAGTGGCCCTCTTTTGGTAATCATGCAACACAGATTTTTGCATGATTCGGATTTAGCACGACAAGTTGCAATCTTCCAGACCCAGACATTTTTGCAATTGATACTTCTAGACTATCGTTCAATTCCATCTCGTCGTTGTCCATTTCCGGGGAATATGAATTGCAAATATGTCTGCTTCTGGAAACTTGCAATGCTAAAAGTGAATGATAGACGCACTGCAGCACGCAGCTATGCATGACAAATTTTTTTGCTGCCATGTCTTACGTATTCCGCATGGCAAACTGCGTGCTTGCATGACAGGCAAGAGGACCTTTTCGCGCCTATGCAACACAGATTCTCGAGTCATGCCAGAAAAGCATGACAAACTTGCATTCTGCCAGACCCAGACACTTTTACATTTGATAGAGAATCATGGTGCTGTCCTCGTCGGGCATGCGGTGGAAACAGGTTCAAATCATCGGCTTCATCCACTTTATTCCCATCCTCTTTTTCATCATCTTCGCTAAACCCTAAGTCCTGCGGCGAAAAACTGTTGCTGATTTTGAAGCGGTCTGGAGATTTTTTCTTCTTACTATTGTTCTCGCCGGTTGTGCGGTGCGGCAGAAAGAACTTGGAGTTGGAAGATGAATTAGTACTGCTTTTGCTAGTGCTGTTGTCCTCTTTCGTGTACGAAGGATCCGGTTTGCTGGCACCGCTGCTACCTCCTTTGTTGTTCATCGTCATGCTCACTACACTGTCCTCACCAAGAAAAACGTCCTCCACAAGATCATCGTCGTCAAAATCGTTTGCGATGATAGCCGCTGCACCACCGCCGTTTATTGTTCCGGCAGAGGCACTATGCGGAACATCGGCGTTCATTTTCTCCTCTCCTGGATCCGCAAGACAGCCCCGGCGCATCCGCAATTTTACCGAATTGTTTTCCGAGTCATCGTGCTCTGGATTATTTGGAGACGCCTTCACACTGTTCACCCCAGATACTTCGGAGACAGACACGGTCGAGAAATTATCCTTGAACGTGTCCGCCTCCTCCCTGGATAAAAACCGATTTTCTCCCAACTCCTGCGGCTGCGCACGGGGGAAAGAAGAGGAAACCGCTGCGGCTGCAGCTCCTCGAGTCGTGTAAGAGCCCCCTTGTTGTCCACCAGCTGCGGGTATCAACTGCAAAAATGCCTGGGTCTGGAAGAATGCGCGACTTGTCATGCAGCTTTTCCATGACCCATGAGGTCTGGAATGCACAGACACCTAGCATGACAGGTTCTGTGCGATCTCTCTCATGCCTATCCTGTCGATGAGAAACTCCCTCCCGACTTGGTCAAGACTGGACGACTTTTGGTAGTCATGCAACACAGATTTTTGCATGCTTCAGATTTAGCATGACAAGTTGCATTCTTCCAGACATCCAGGGATTTTTACATTTCATAGCGGTTCCCAACAAGGGTCCCTCGTTCGAAAACGACATGGTGCCGGATGCAGTGCAAATTGGAAGGATGCAACTTGTGATGCTGCATTCGGATACTACAAAAATCTGTATTGCATCAACAGCAAAAGAGGTCCATTTTTTGCCACGCCGAGAGGGCATTTCTCATGCGGTATAGGCATCAGGAAGCCCTCTCAAAATCTGAGATGCTATGGCATGCATCACAGACATCAGGAGTCATGCAAAATGTGCATGGCAAACCTTGCATCCTTCCAGACGTCCAGGGACTTTTGCATTTGATATCCCCGCTGCGGCTCCCATTTTGCCGGAGATAGTTAACGGAGAGGACGTATCAAATGCAAAAGTGTCTGGGTCTGGCAGGAGACTCATGCTGTTTTTGCATGACGCAGAAGGTCTGGCGTGGAAGCTCTAGCATCACAAGTTTCGAGAAGCTTCCGCAATGCCGAATCCGCATGACAAATGTCGCCCCATTTTTGTGACAGAAAGTGGGCAGCTTTTGCTACCTATGCATGACAGATTTTTCTGTGTTCTGAAATGCGCATCACAAGTTTGTCTTCTTCCAGACCCAGCCATATTTGCAATCCATAGGACGTTTTCGCTTTCAATGGTGGACTGGATTCCCTCGGCCCGTGGCGGAACTTGTAGTTTTGATGTGCTGTCTGCTGGTTTTGATTAAAGCCGCTTATCCTCAGTAAAAACGTCCCCACACGCCCAGAGTCAAGTTGGAATCTCCGCAACACAAATTGAAAAGTCTTGGAAATCACGCATGACAAGTTTCTCGCTGTATTGTAGTGCTGGTTATGACAAAGGCAGCCGCATGAGAAAGCCGTCCCCTTATCCTGTTTGCAGCATTGCAAATGCCAAAACACGATTGTAAATGTAATACCTCTCTTGGGGATGCGCATTACAAGTGTGCCTGTCATTGCAATTCTGCATGACAACTCTGGGCGGGTGGGGACGTTTTTACTCAGGATACCGCTGTTGCTTTCCTTGCTCGTGTTGGACAAAAATTGCTCCGCAACCGATGGTATGAAATGCAAAAATGTCTGGGTCTGGAAGATTGCCAGGTTTGTCATGCACAGGCTGCATAACCCATGATGCCTGTAATGCACGACCTAGCATCACAGATTTCGAAAGGGCCTTCTGATGCGTATTCCGCATGAGAAACGCCCACTCCGCGTAGCACAAACTAAACTCCTTTTGCTGGTCATGCAATACAGATTTTTTTTACCTTCCAAAGACAGCATCACAAGTTGCTTTGTTCCAGACCCAGACATTTTTGCATTTGATAGATGGAAGTTTTTCCTGGTCGAAAGAGGTAGAAAACGCATTCACGTTCTGGTGCGGAAATGCATTGCCATTGCCCCCACGACCACCTCCGGGCACAACAACTGTGTCCCCCATCGGCGATAACTTCTTCGTGGGATTGTACCCGTGCAGGTGCGCCTCCTGCAACACCTCCCCCGCAACTGGGGAGACGACTGAACAAGTCTGGTGCTGGCTGGTATTGCTGTAGTTCAGGAAGTTAGACGACTCATTCAGCATCTGCATCTGGTTGCTCAAGACGCTCGTACTGCTATGTACTACGTCGAATTTCGCCATGCCCGCAACAGCCGCCCCGGAAGTAGATGAGCTCAAATTATTGCTCCCGTATCCTATGTAAGAACGTCCCCACCCCATAGTCAAGATGAAGAGCCGGCTAGACAAATCCACAAGTTTTGGCTGTTTTGCATGACAAATTTGGACTCGTAGTGTAGTGCTGTTTGAGGTAGTTCAGCAGCATCACAGATCTAGTATATCATGCTGATTGGAGCATGACAAATTCCAGAACACGACTAGACAATGCTTCTCATGGGGCTCCGCATGAGAAACATTTTCAGCATGCAGATTTGCATTACAACTCTGGGGTGGGGACGTTTTTGAATACGATATCCCGCTACTCTGCTTTAACTCCATGTGCTTCACCAGATCGGACATATCCAATGCAAACATGTCTGGGTCTGGAAGACTGCAAGTTTGTCTTGCTTGGCTAGCATGACGCTTAAGTCTGTCATTCACGTTACCCAAAAGCCACAGCTTTCTGACATGCAAAAACGCAGTTGTTTGTCATGCCGGATAGACAACACCCAGCAACTCAGAAATTTGTCATGCTCAGCGGTCATTTGTGGCGTCCTCATGATTTGTCGATCAGCATCACAGGTTTCCAGACACAGACATATTTGCAGTTGATACGACACTTGCTTCGACAGCGTTTCAATCTGCTCCTGCGCGGATTCGCAAATCTTCCGCATATCCTCGATTTCCGTCGATTTTGTGTTCAGGTTTTGACTCTTTTCCTGTTGCTGCTCTAACTGCTTGATCTTTGCGACGACTTTTTTCAAATCGTCCAACCGCTCCGTGTGCTGGAACTCGCTAAGAAGGGATTTTTGCGAATCCGTGACCTTCTGGTTGTTTGTTCCGGGAAGACCTACGAGCTGCTGATTGCTTTCCAGTTGCCACCTGAACTTATTTCCCGATGAATTGATGTTGTTCATCATCCCCAGTTCTTCGTGTTGTCCTACGTGCTGACCCGGTAGAAGTGCTTCTAGCTCTACTTCCTCTCCCTTGTCCTCTGTCAACGGGGAAAAGGGTCCTTGCAAAATGACCCCGTCGGCTTTCAGATGCTCCTCCGCTGTGGTGGTGGATTCTTTGGACGGGGCAGCATTTCCTTTTTGGAGTGTATTGTTCTTTTCACTTGCCAGAATTGTTCCAGCGGAAGGAGCAGCTCTTTGTTGCGTCACCGTGGTAGTAAGCTTCTCTTCTACTTCTTTCAAATTCGCGGTTAACGTATCCACGTCGTCCTCCAGCGTTGCGATTCTACCACGAAGAACCGCGTCCCCTTCAGTTCTTTCAGTATCAAATTTCAGCGGAGATGAAGCTGCACCCCCGGCAGTGTTCAACAAAAACTCCCTGTTTTTAACCCTCGTTTCTACCTGCCCGATTTTTTCCTGCACGAGCTGCAAGTCCATCCGCAAATCCACACTCCTGTCATATAACGCGCTCAGCCGTTACGATCTCAAATGTTGCAATAGAATATAGAAATCTGTGACGCAAGAGCGCATGATCTAGCCAACCCTCATAGGATTGCGCATGACAAGTTCCAGAGCCAAACCCCACTACAATCTGGCGAAATTTGTATTGCAGAAAGTGGAACGCTATGCGAGTCTGTCGTGCTCATCATGCAAGACAAATCTCAGACTCTATTGTAACGTTTGACATTGTAACACCTGAGCGGGTTATATGTCGTTCGCCTTCTGCGACACTTGCTCCGCTTTCTCGGCCTGCTCCGCGGCGGATTCGGAGCGAGCGTATCAAATGCAAATGTGCCTGGGTCTGGAAGGATGCAAGATTTTTTGTCATGCACATTTCGCATGACTCCTGACGTCTGTGATGCATGCCCTAGCATCACAGATTTTGTGAGGTCTCCCTGATGCCTATACCGCATGAGAAAGGCCCTCTCGCCGTCGCCGTGGCGAAAACTAGACCTATTTGATGCTATAAATGCAATACAGATTTTCGTAGTATCCAAATGCAGCATCACAAGTTACATCCTTCCCGACCCAGACACGATTGCAATGCATAGACCGGTTAAACGGGCGATTTCGGTGGACAATTGCTCCATTCGAGCTGTTATGCATTGCAAATAACGTCTTGTCTGGAAAACTTGAACCTGTATTGCTTCGCTTGCATCTTCCCTGTAGAATCTGTCCTGCATGACTGACAAAAGGAGCGCGACATCTTTGTTCGTACAAAAACGCAGTTTGTAATGCGCATTGCGAAAAAGGAGAAAGCGTCTGAAAAATTTGTCATGGTAGGCCGCTGCACTCGAGAGGATGCTCAGTCATTACGATCCAGCATCACAAGTTTCTAGACCCAGATAAATTTGCATTTGATAGCTGTAGATTCCGCTTCTAAAAGATTTTCCAACGCCTGGAGTTCCTCCTGTAGCTTTTCCTCCGTCACGGTGTTTATTTCTGTTGCAGCTTGTTTCACTTGATTGAACTGTACCACCGTATCAAAAGGAAGAATCCCCCCTCCCCATATCGAAAACGAAATTTGTGATGCTGTATTTGAGTACACAAATCGATTCGTATTGCTAGAAGGCCAAGAGCCGCAGCTGTGGCCTGTTTTGCAGGTAATTTGTCATGCTGTTCCATACTTCCAGCTGCCTCCTGTCATGCTGAAAGTGCGAAGAATTCCCACACCGCCCTGCACTACAGTCCGCAACCTTTTGTTCCCTTCTAGCATGACAAAGCTGATCTGTGTCCACAAATATGCATCACAGATTTCGGTTTTGACATGGGGAGGGGGGATTTTTCTTTTCGATACACCGCCTCTGCGATTTTCGCGGTACACCCCTCGATGACCGTCGTTATGGAAGTGTCAGAATCGAAATTGAGAAAATCGAAAAACTTGTGATGTAAAAAATCGATACCAGTTGGAGCCTCAGCTTGTACGTGGCGCATGACAAATTTCGGGAGCACCCAAATTCAGTCTGTCATGCTTTTTGGGCAAAGAAGGCTGCTCCTGTCGTGCTACTCTGGCAGCACATTGTATACCCATAAACACGCTTACAATCGGCATCGTTTGCCTGTTCCCCACTACAGGCCTTACGTGCCCTACATTTTACGCATCACAAATTTTTCGATTTTGTCGATTTCAAACCTGACGCTTCCATAGTCGTTTCTATCTCCGTAAACTTCGCGTCGACCGCCTCGCCGAACTGGTCGGTTTCTTGCTTTAAAGAAGAAATTTCCTTTTTGACAGCATCGGCATTGTCCTGGACCTCCATAATATCCGCTTTGATTTTGTCCATCTCCAACGCAAGGGTCGTCCCCTTCTCCGCCTTCAACTTTGCTTCCTTCACTAAAGCCTCCAACACGTCCATTTTATCCGGTAAGATCGCCAATTTCGTGTACAGCTGCGGTGAGATTTTGCTCGAATTCTGCTTTTCCTTTTCCTGCGCTTCCGCCCACTGCTTCACGGTTAAACCCAATTCGTTCAGGTTTTTTTGGAACTGCTCTTTCAGGGAGGCGACTTCGGTTTGAACTTCTGAAAACTTCTTCATTTCCTGCTCTTGGTCAGCTTGTTGTGCTAGTGCGGTTTTACTTGCGTTCTGCACCGCAACTGCCTCCGCTTTTGCTGTCCTATCCGCGTCGATTTCTTTTTTCACCGTGTTGATTTGCGAGAAAACGTTTTCCTCCAAATCACTCACCGCGGTTTTGATTGCGGTTTTCAACTTCTCACTCACCACCCTGTCAATCCGCGCAAGCGTCGCTTGCTCCGTTTCCGTCCCGAGTTTTTCCAAGTCTTCGTTCAATTCTTTCACCGTGTCGGTTAAGTCCCACAGTTTCGCGGATAATTTCGAAACCTCGTCTTCTTGCTTCGTGGTGACATCCATTTCCGCTTCCATCAGCGCAAATTGCTTTTGCAGGGTCTGGAGTGAGAATTTATGGACTTGGAATTGCATCGTGATTTGTGCATGACAAAACTTGACTACCATAAAGGACTATGCATGCATGACAAAAAGCAAAAAACGACTGTACCTCCCCTTGATGCGAGACTTCCTGCCTCAATTTTTTCTCCACATTCCCGACCAAGACCTGCACATCCTCCACCTTCTGTGGCATTTTCGCGAACCCCTCAATGCGGTTCGATAAAGTCTGCAACTCCGCTTCCACCGCTTCCAATCGCCAGCTGTTATTACTCCCGTTCGCTTCACTCGGAACCCCACCAGTTTTCGTTGTTACCGGCGACGCGAGCTGCGGCCCGCAGGAATTTTCATCGTTCATCATTTTGTCGGTCAAATGCCAATCTTCCAAGGATTTCAACTTGTTGCTCATGGAAAATTTACTATTCATTTTCTCCTGCATTTCCGCCTCTTGATTCGCGAGTTTCTTCTGGATGTATCCTGTGCAAAAGTATCGCACTCGTAGTAATTGCAGTCATGCATTACAAATTTTCTTCTTAATGTAAATCCGCATGACAAATTTTATTTCTCATGCTGGCAAAATTTGTAATGCATTTATACGAGTACGATATATTTGCAATGCATAGGATGTCTAATGCCGCAATTTCCAATTCCCGCATCTTCTTATCAAAAGGAAAAATCCCCCCTCCCCGTATCAAAACGAAATTTCTGATGCTGGATCCGGATACACAAATCGCGCTTGCCTTGCAGCAGAGGACTGCAGGCATATGCCAAGCCTGAGGCGAGAGGTTTTGACGTAGGTGCCTAGCATGCCAAACGCCCATGCTGTAGGCCCAACAGCATTACAAACCGCCTACATAGTGCAGCGGACTCTCTAGATTTGCCTTCTTGCAAGACAAACAGGATTTGTGGTCACAAATCTGCATCACAAATTTTCAGGCGCATGCGTGTTCAATATGGGGAGGGGAGATTTTTCCTTACGATACTTCTTCTCGTACGTTTGGAACTGCTTTTCCACTTCCAGCTGAATTAATTTCGACACTTGATCGGCGTCGAGGGGTAGTTGCTGCTGTTGTTGCTGCTGCTGCTGTTGCGATGAAACCGTCGCGGTAATTTGCTCCTGCTTTAGTGAAATGTTCGCAAATTTCTCTTCGAATAATTTCTCCATTTGTAACACCTTGTTGTTCTGCTGTAAAAAATTCCGCTTCCACTCGGAGGACAAATCCATCTTCTCTAATTTCTGCTTTTGCTCTAAGTTCGCGGTTTCCTGGGCCACGAGCGTTTTGCAGAAATCGAGGACTTTCTCGTTCATATTTGAGGCGGAACTTCCGGCGTTCAGGTTGTTTCCAGCGATCTGTTGTTCCCACAATTTTTCGTCTAACTCCTATTACAATGAAAAATGCCCCCACCCCCAGCTTGGCAGCATTTGTATTGCAAACCTTTCCAACAGAAACATTCCCCGTCTTGCATGCATCAGCATCACAGATTTTCCATGCTGAATAGGTCAAATCTGTGTTGCGAAGTAGCCCAACAGCAGCCGGATCTGTTATGCACAAGGCACCTTGCGCACCCAGCTTCTGCATCAGAAGCGCTCGCATAATCCTTTCATGCATAGATAAAAAGCTCTTCATTTGAAAACCTTATGCATGACAAACTTCTGCAAATTCCGGGGTGGGGGCATTTTTCATCGTAATAACTCCCTCACTTTCTTCTGCAGCTGCTGGATCACGTTGTGCTCGGATTGTGTCATGCTCGGAGTCTATGCAGAAAAAAAACTGTGTAAGTGTAACTTTGTAATGCAGAACATGCAACAGAGTTACGCCTGTCATGCCAAACAACCATGAAGTCCTCTCTTCATGTGTGTTTTCCCTTACAAACCACGCATGACAGGTTTTCGCTGTCATGTAGAGCGAATTTGTGATGCTGTCAGCCAAGGAAACTTACACTAACACAGTTTTTTTCTTGTATAGAGTCCCGCCCGCATGATGGCTACTAAATCCGGACACATTGTTTCCTGTTGCACTACCCCCTCCTCCTCCTCCTCCGTTGGACACTATCTGCAGGATTTTCTGCTCCAATTTCCCCTCCAATAACCCAACCGCCCGCTCGATCTCCCGTCTATCGAGTTCCACCTGCTTCTGCAGACTCGCGATCATGGAGATCGATCGTTGATTTACCAAATCGATCTGCTTCTGCAACGTCGCCTGCTGCACCGCCTCGGAATAGGTCGGGTAAATCGAGGTGCCGCCCGTGACAGCAGTAGAACCGCCCACACCAGATGGTACTAGCTGAAACCCGCCCTGTTGTATCGTGCGGTTGTGCATGACAGAGTCGCGGTGGTTTTCCCGGTTGCTAAAATTATCCATCTGGCGGTCGCCCTCGCGGAGGATGGACGCAATGTGCGCCACCGATGCGTTCACGTGGTCCATTTTCTTGGTACTGTTGCGGTCGGTCTCAGTGGAAGGAGTTTTTACGTGGCCGCGGGGTGTAGAACTACTTCATTATTCAGGCTGTAGAAACGTGCTTTTCACAGAAAGTTGTAGAAGAACATCCTTACTACGCATACAAAAAAAATGCAACTCAGGAGCACCTCCCCAGCACCTTTCACAGTTGCACGAACTCGCTTATTTCTGCTTTCGCTCGTTCAGCCTACACGGAAGAGATGCACTCAGAGCGGTCATCGCCTCGGTATCATGATGAGAAGCAAAAAGTCCCAACAGACGGCCCCGGACGGAACCCACCTACGGCAGGCACGCAAAAATGCGCCGCATTCTGCTTTTTTTTGTCTCGCATTGTCGTTGGTATTGGTACAACTCCATCTTACAAATCTTGTCCAGCGCTGTTCTTGCTTTGTTCGTTGCTTTGTCAGTATTGAGTCCTAATCGCGTGTTGCATTACGCTCTATTCTTGCCATTGAAACCTAAAACTAAAATCATTCACAGTGTATCATGTCCGTCGTGTTCTGATGTAAAATTTTGAAACTTCAAATGGGTGAGAGGCGAAAAAATTTTGTACAAGTGGTTGTAAAACAACTTTCAAGAAACGCATAGTGGTTTTCGATACAAAATGCGTACTGCATCAGAAAAGCGTAAAAAAACGCTAGTCCGACAACAGGTTCTCATGCGATTCCGACTTTTCGAGCGGATTTCTGCTTCCGCCGCCGTTCAATTTCGCCACCGCGGCGCTATTCGTCGCCGTCATCATCTCCGTCCGTGGAGACGGTGCGAAGACGTCCACTTCGCTATGAAAGAGAGAACAACCTCCCCCCGCTCCCTCACTTGGAAGGCAGGGTCAGCAACAGAAATGGGAGCAGAAATGCGTGCACTACATGAGAAATCTACCCATGGATTCTAGTTCTGTCTCGGATGCTGCAACTTGTCATGTAAGCTATTGCAATAAGGCAACAGATTGAGTTGCGTTTTTGCATGACAATTGAGGCGCAGGGGAACAGGTCGTTGTGCAATCATCTCATATTCGCGGAAGCTCATGTTGAAAAAGTCCTGGCTTGTGCGGACAGACGAGGCCGATGCGGGATAATTCGTGTTGCCAGACGCCGATGCAACCACTTGTGACTTGATGTTCTGCAACTGGGGAGCTACTGAAACTGATGACGAAGCGGAAAACAAGCCACTACCTTTCTCTTCCACGCTCCCCCCGCCGATTGCTAGAGAATTGTTGTTGGCGTACAAAATCTTCCGATTAGTGCTGTAGTTGTGCTGCTCCCTGCCACCGTCGTCCCGCCCTAGCACGCTGCTCACATTCCTTGGGGAACCCGGGAGAGCTGGGATCGATCTTAAACTTGGCGGCTCAGCTATCCTATGTAGAAACGTCCCCACCCCATAGCTGCAATGCAAATCTGCATGCTGAAAGTGTTTCTCATGCGGAACCCCATGGGAAGCGTTTTCCAGTGGTGCTTTGAGATTTGTTATGCTCAAACAAGCATGATAAAACGGATCTGTGATGCTTCGGAACTGGCTAAACAGGATTACACTACGAGGACAGACTTGTCATGCGAAATAACCAAAAGTGGCTGCCTTGTCTAGCGGATTTTCCATCTTGACGGATTCCGGTGTGGGGACATTTTTACTCAGGATATCAGCTGCTGCTGCTGCGTGTGTCGTGGTTCCTTGTTTCGAAGTATTGTGAGGAAAAATCCCCCCTCCCCATATTGAGCAGGTATGTTCCTAAAAATTTGTGATGCTGATATGTGGCCACAAATCCTGTCTCTCTTGCAAGAGGGCAAATCCAAAGAATCCGCCGGCCTATGCAGGCGATTTGTAATGTTGTTGCGGCTACATGGCAGGCCTCTGCTATGCTAAGCACCTACATCAAAACACACCTACACAGGCTTAGGCGTTGCCTGCAGTGTCTCTCTGCAAGACAGAGCTGATTTGTGTACACAAATCCAGCAACACAAATTTCCGTTTTAATATGGGGAGGGGGGGATTTTTCCTCACAATACGAAGAGCTCGCGGAAATCGTACTTCCACTGCCACTAGTTCCGTTCAAAGGCCCCACTCCGCTGTTAAAAGCTTTGCCCTTCTCCATATCAGCCTGCTGTTTCAAATGCTCCTTCCGCCCGGGTAAGCCGAAGCAGAATTCCTCGAACTCCAGGGAGTTCTCTTTATGTTCGAACGCCCGCCAGATCTGCTGTAAGACCAATTTCTTGTTCGGATTCTTCTCGTTGATCAACTTGGTGCAACCTAATTCGAACAAATTCTTCGTCATCAGCCTCGCAGGCGTCGCGTGCATGATCGTCTTCCAGGTGTCTTGGATGGTCTTGGTGTACCGGGCGGTAATGAGCTCGCGGAAGAGAATTAGAAGGACGGCTTTTACCTGATACAGAGGCGGATTAATTTTTGTCATGTGGTGATGTAAACCAAGAAGAGAACAAACTTCATCCAAATCCAGCATGACAAAAACCTTTATACTCATCCAAATCCAGCATGACAAAAACGATACCTCATCCAAATCCAGCATGACAAAAAACATTCACACTTAGTACCTGTTCCGGCACATTCGCCTGTGCGTACTTCAACTCCTCCCGTAAATGCGCCAACTTATCCTGTGCAAAAGTACCGCGCTCGTACTAGTAAAAATCGCAGTCATGCATTAGAAATCTTTTTCTTGAGGTAAATCCGCATTGCAAATCCTAATTCTCATGCTGAGGAAATTTGTCATGCGCTTTGTCGGTTTGTACCAGTACGATACTTCTGCAATTCATACAATTGCACTTTCTCTAAATCCAATTGCTCCCTCTCCTCCTTGATCTGCAATTCCACCGTGCTTCGCCACTTTTTGATTTCCTCGTCTAACTTCAAGTTCGCGGCTTGAAACTCCGACTTTATCGTCTGCATCTCCTTCTCGTGCTTTAGTTTCAACTGGACTAACGCGTCTTGCTTCTCTAAGTCTTGTTTTTTCTTCACCGATTCGATTTTCTTCTCCATGTTCTTCTCCAACTCGTTGCATTCATTTCTGAACTCTTCCTATCAACTGTAAAAATGTCTGGGTCTCCTGGAAAGTTGGAACTTGTGATGCTAACTTTGGACTCTAAAAAAATGTGTATTGCATGACAAGCAACACGAGCCACATTTGTGCTACGCGAGGAGGGCATTTGTCATGCGAAAATGGCATCAGGAAGCGTTCCAAAAATCTGTGATGCTGGGTCATGCATTACAAGCATCATGGCTCATGCCAGACAAGCATGACAAGCCTTTCATTCTTCCAGACCCAGACATTTTTACATTTGATACTTCCTTCAGCTGTTTAATTCCCTCGTGATTTAATTTCTCTAGCTGCTCTTTCTCCTCCCGGAATTCCTTCACTAAAGCCTTTTTCGCCAAATCAAACTCCGCCTGCTTGTTCTTCATTTGCTTCTCGAATAATTTCTTTCCCTTATGCATTGCAAAACTATCCGTACTAGTAGAAGCTGCATCACAAACAAGGTCCGAGCACGGGGACAGAGTCCCCGTGCGGCGACCTTCCGGCATTTGTCTGCGCGGTGGCACTGGGCAGGCAGGTCGCTCGCAGCTAGGTATCTCGGTGCGCCTTGCATTCAATGACCCGCGACGGGCCTGCGGACGCGGCACCCTTGCTTGCGCGCACTGGATTCATCAGCCTGCCGCGCGCAAAGATAAAAAGAAAAGAAGAAACTGGCGCCGGGTCTGCAGCCGGCCCCGACGTCATGGCGCGGCGACAGAGTCCCCGCATTGCCCTAGGGCTTCTGTCTCTTTGCATGCCCCCTCCCTGGCCGCGCGGTGTCGTTCCCGGGGAGCGCGCCCAGCTGGCCCCTAGGCCATGACGCGGGGACCAAGTCCCCGCGCTGGCCTAGGGCTTTCGCCCCTTGGCAGAGCGGTGTCCGGGGGGCGCACACAGCTGGCCCCTAGGCCATAACGCGGGGGCCGAGTCCCCGCGCTGGCCTAGGGCTTTCGCCCCTTGGCCGAACGGTGTCCGGGAAGCGCTTACAGCTGGCCCCTAGGCCATGACGCGGGGACCGAGTCCCCGCGCTGGCCTAGGGC